GGCCCCGCGCCCCTCGCCCCTACCAGCTCGGCGGCGAGCCCGGCCGGCCGTCCGGAATCGGAAAGAGCAGACGCTGGGAAGTTTTGGGAGAGGGAGGGACGGGCCTTAAAGGGACCACGACCTCTTTTCAGCCTGGGGGGAAAATGGGCGCGGGGGGGCTGGATGGGGCCAGGCCGACAGTTGCTCCGCGGTTGAAGGAAGAAAACGCACAAGAAGTCTGTCGGGCCGCTCCGTTCGGGTTCCGCGTCCCTTTTCCCCCAATACTCCCCAAGTCCTTCACTCCTCCTTCCCCTCACAGAAAGTCGCGCAGTTGTTTGGAAAGCATGCCTTATTCCTCCTAGTTAGCCAAGGGTTGTGTTAGTTGAGATAAGTGTTGGGGTGCATATTGTACAAATAGCGAAATGGGCTCAAGGGACAGAAGCGACTGGCCCAGAATCCCACAGCTGTAAGTGGCATAGCAGGGCTTGTCTGATGCCCAAGATGCATAACCACTGCGCTGCAGTGCCCGCTCCGGCTCTGGGGGGTGCAATAGGCAGTGGAGGTTAAGGGCCCCGGCCCGGGCAGGGTGCCCGCACAGGCCACACTTTCTAGCCTTGAGAAAGTGGTTTCGCCTTTGGGCCTGTTTCCTCGTCCAATAGAAGGAAGGTAATAGCCCCGCCTCATAGAGTGGTCTTGAGGAGTGCTGAGAAGTCAGAATGGGGGGGACTCAGAAGCTTACACCCACACACCCGCATTTCACACATTAGGTAAAACTGAGCCCCAGAGAGGGGAAAACTCACCACAGCTAGGCGGCTTCTGAAAGCAAGTAGATACCCTGAGGCATAAGCGGACCCTTGAAGGCCCTAGCTTTCCTCTGTTCATGAAATGCCCCAAACTCATTCCTCACTTTGCACTGGCTGTTCCCCTGCCAGATCTCTGCTGCTCATCTGATGACCTTGCCTAGCTCAAACGTCACCCCTGACCACCCCAGCCTAGTCAGCCCCCATACAGAGTTACAGGCATGGCTCCCGTTTATCTCCCTCTTTGCTCTATTGCACGTGCAAATTCGAGTTATTTGTTTAACTTGTCTCCGCACTAGAATCTGGGCTCTTTGGGGGCCAGAAGTGGATATGTTTTAATCCTCCTACCGATCTACCCTGGGTCACTCAACAGAAGTATATTGAGCCAACACTATTTGGGGCACCTGAGATAAATGGTGACCAAGATACCAGAAAAAAACCCATAAGTAAAACAATTGTATCAGATGGTAATAATTGCTATGAAGAAAATAACAACAAAAAGAAAATAAAACAGGGAAGGAGGATGAGGAGTTATGGGAAAAGTTGGCTACGACCAAAAGGGTATTCAGGAGAAGCCTCACTGAGAAGGTGACATTTTAGCAAAGACCTGCAGGAGGGGAGAAAGGAAGTCATGGGGGTAAGGGAAGAGCATGCCAAGCGGAGAGTACAGCCAGTGCAAAGGTCCTGAGATGAAAATGTGCCTGATGTGTTCCAGGAATTGGTAGAGGCCTTTGTGGCTGGAGTGAGTGAATGAGGGGCAAATGGTAAGCCATGATGTCAGAGAAAGGGGGAAAGGGCAGTCTGAGGGTATGGCCCATGGGGAGGACTTAGACTTTGAGGTGGTGCCACAGAAGGATTCTGAGCAAGGAAAGGCCCTGATAGGGCTCAGCTATTCACAGGAGTGATGTGTCTGTGGGAAACACTGGGATGTGGGGTGGGAGCAGGAAATCAGGCGGCCTATTCAATGGAACAGGCTGAACAAGAAAGTGGGTGGAATCAGGGTGGGGACCATGGAGGGGTTGACATGAGCAGGTTGTGGATCTGTTTTGAAAGCAGACTGTCTAGTACCGTGGTCGGCAAACTGTGACTCGCGAGCCACATGCGGCTCTTTGGCCCCTTGAGTGTGGCTCTTCCTAAGCCTTAGGAGTACCCTAATTAAGTTAATAACAATGTACCTACCTATATAGTTTAAGTTAAAAAAATTTGGCTCTCAAAAGAAATTTCAATCATTGTACCGTTGATATTTGGCTCTGTTGACTATTGAGTTTGCCGACCACTGGTCTAGTATATTCGCAAAGTTGTACAAACATCACCATTGTCTAATTTCAGAACATTTGCATCACTCCCTCCCCCGCCCCCCCCCCCCCCCCAAAGAAACTCCATACATATTTGTAGTCACCTGTCTTCAACTCCTAGCAACCTACTTTCTGTCTCTATGGATTTGCCTGTTCTGGTCATTACATATAAGTGGAATCAATACAATATTTGACCTGTTGTGTCTGGATTCCTTTACTTAGCATTGTTTTCAAGGTTCACCCTTGAAATAAAACAAGGATGTACTTCATTCCTTTTTTATTTTTTTAAGAATTTTTTTTTTATTGATTTCTGAGAGGAAGGGAGAGGGAGAGAGAGATAGAAACATCAATGAGAGAGAATCATTGATTGGCTGCCTTCTGTATGCCCCACACTGGGGATCCAGCCTGCATCCTGGGCATATGCCCTGACTGGGAATGGAACCGTGACCTCCTAGTTCATAGGTCGACGCTCAACCACTGAGCCATGCTGGCTGGACACTTCATTCCTTTTTGCAGCCAAGTATTATTCCACTGTATGGATATGCCAAATTTTGTCTATCTAGTCATCAGTTGAAAATGTCCCTACTCCTCAGTTCTCCATGAATTTAGCTCTCAGCTCACTGACCTCATGCTGCTCCTGTCCTCATTCTTGGTGATTTCCATTTCCAGGCGTAATCCTCAGACAATCCTGGCCTCTCCTCCAGGGATCTGTCCTCCCCCTGGCTCTTCCCTCCCATGGTCACACCTAGACCTTATCTCAATAACCACAGATCCTTCAGAACCTTAATTTCATGCATCTTGCCCTCCACCTATTACCTGTCTTTCTAGTTCATTCCTTTCAGAAGCTGAACTCCAAAAATCCATTGGCTCTATAATCTTTCCATAATCCCTAAGACTCCTCATTGTCATCAGATTAAATTCCATTTTATTTTTATTTTGACTACATTTATTAAAGCTGGGGACAGTGAAACAAGGAAGAGACTAGGATAGAAGAAGCAACAGGAGAGAGACTTGGCAGGGCTGCTTTGGCTCCCTAAAAACGTCATAGGAAAGAAGTGAGCCAAGGGGGGGCTGCTGTCACCTCACTGGAGAGTCAGAGAAAAGTGGGCCTTGAAGACAGGTTCAGGGGGTTAGCGAAACCACAATCTTCTGCCTATTGCATGTCTGAAGAAAAGTGGGCCTTGAAGACAGGTTCAGGGGGTTAGCTTAGGACGAGCTGCTGCTGTCCATTGCTCCCCTGGTCGCATGGGGTCCCTTATAGTTTAGGAGATGCATGCCTATGGGGGAAGGAAGGGAAAGGAAAAGGGAGAGTGTGCACCCAGATTAAATTCGTTGACCAACTATTACAATCACCTCTTATGCACACTCTGTGCGCACCCCTCTGCATTTTACTCATCCAGCGAAACCACAATCTTCTGCCTATTGCATGTCTGCATCTCTGCAGGGGAATGTGGATGGAGAAAAATATGCACCCATGCTAACTGGTCTCACTAAATTTATGCCCACTGACTTAGAGAACCCACAATGCTGCCCAGCAAATCCACCCATGTCCCTGGTCTCTTGACTCTCCCAGATGACATATCAGACCTCCTCAAACCTCCAGCAGCTCCTTCCTCATCCTCACTCTCAGCAGTGACCTTATTTCCTGAGAACCATAGCCACCTTCCACCACACCCACCCTTCTGCATCCTCCACACCCTCCCCGCCTTCCTACCTGTGACTAGGGGAGCCAGTCATGTTCTCAATCTGTTGAGCTGCTTTTTCCCTATTCATATTCTAATTTTCCCTTCCCCTATTCAATAAATTGGTTCCCTGTGGGCTCAGGGTCTCAGGAGAGAAATGTGACAAGACTGAAAGCAGAAATAGGCCAGCTTTCTTTCCTTCCCTCCCTCCCTCTCCCCCCTTCTTTTCTTTTTTTTCTTTTCTTTTCTCTTCTTTTCTTTTTTCTTTCTTTCTCTCTTTCTTTCTTTCTTTTCTTCCCTCCTCCCTCTTTGCTTTCCTCCCTCCCTCCATCCCTCCCTTCCTTCTTTTCCTTCCTTTTCTTTCTTCCCTTTCTTTTGCCTCTTCAGTGCTCCAAGCAGAAATAGCTTCATGGTCTGTTGGGTCTCAGATTGAAAATTCAGATGCCCTCAGGGGCCACTGAGTAAAGCTAGACAGTAAAGGAAAACTCAGTTTCATTATACAGTTGTGACACTTTCCCCACCCTCCAGCATCATTGAGGTATAACTGATATAAGAAACCACACATATTTAAAGGATACAAGTTGATGAATTTTTACTTATGAATAAACCTGTGAAACCACCACCACAATCAAGATAATGACCATAAGACAATGAATGTACTCATCATTCCTAAGTTGCCTCATGCCTCATGCCTCCATCCTTTGTCCTTCCACATATATCCCCAGATAACCACTGATCTGATTCCTGTCACTGTAGGTTAGTTTTCATTATCTAGAATGAAATTATAAAGCATATATTTTCATGTCTGCCTTTTTTCATTCACCATAATTATTTTGAGATCCATACATGTTGAACAAGAATTCATTCTTTTTATTTCTGGGTACTATTCCATTGCATGGAATAGTTTAAATCACTGCAAGTTGTTTACTGAGTCACCCACTGATGGACATTTGGGTTGTTTCTAGTTCTGGCAATCCTCCTATATAATAAAAGAGAAACATGTAAATCGACCGTCCCTCCGCTATGCTCACCAGCCAATCAGGAGTAACTATCTAAATTAACCCTTCAAAGATGGTGGGTTAATTTGCATACACAGGCACCGGTGGAAAGCAGAGCGGGAGAGCTGGCAGCTTGTGGGGATGTGGCTCCCTCAGTCACTCACCCAAACCGCCGGGTGGAGAGCAGAGCGGGAGAGCCAGCAGAGAGTGGAGCAGCTTGGGAAACTTGGCTCCCCAAGCTGCCAGACAGAGAGCAGAGAGGGAGAGCTGGCGGCTTGGAGGACTTGGCAGAGTGGGAGGCCGTGGGACTGAGACTGAGCAGGAAGGGAAAACCAAGAGCACGG